GCGGAAATTTACACTGAGTCTCCGCAGCCTGTTTTCTGAGAGCGTAACACTCACAATGCCGGTACCATAAACCCAGATATTCCCCTAATGAGCAAATTAGGAGTCCTCGGGGGGTGATGACTAGCTGGACTTATTTATTTATTTTTTACCGCTGACACCCGGCTGAGCTTATGGGAGAAGTAAAACTGGCCCGACAGTCTACAGAGGAAAACACCACTTCTCTTCTTACAGAGACGCGTCGCTTTCTCCGCTGCTTCAGGAAAGGCAGTCAGGATGTGCCACTTATCAAAGCAAAAAGGTCAAAGACGCAGTGAGAAAGTGACCTCCTCATGACTTGCTTCCTGTAAATTTACCACATAGACGGGATTATCTGTTATTATGATTACATCTGTCGTGGTGCATTTAAGGATCAGACGTGCACGTTTTTACAGTTTACTGAAACTCAAAGAGCTCCAGTCTTTTCCGGTTATCAGCTGATGTTGCAGCTCCCAGCAGCCATTTTGGGCTGAAGGTCGTCAGTTAATGTAAACACAGCTGGATGCGGCAGGTGTGCGTCTCTGTGCAGCCAGGAAACATAAAACACCAGAGATCAACTTTAATCTTGGGACAGAAAATCTGATGTCAATCTATATACAGCGCGCTTTGATAAGAAAGACACACAGGCGGCTCGTGTTTCCACTGTTCTGTGGAAAAGTCTCGCTGTGAATGTGTCCAATCGGAGTTTGCGGGACAACTTGTGAGCATTTCGGTGAGACAGTCGCTTCCCCAGACAGGGGAAGGACTAAATATACCGCACTTGCTCAAGGCTGCCCTCCCCTCCCCATAGTCAGAGACCTACCGCATCACAATGCCCCGAGCGTCTACGCCGACATGGCCCACGGCAACCTGGAAGCATGGTCCCACCGGACGTTCCAGCCCGTGATGCTGGGTTGGATTTCTCTAAGACGCCATGAGTCAACAAGGATGTTTACGTTCAGAACAAATACAAGTCTAACCTGGACTTGGGACTTTACAGAGGTCCTGAAGGCTAACTGTGCCGGAAAGTCATTATCATATCAGAACTGGTGCCATGTTTACCTTGCATGACCTCCCTGTTACCCGCTCATCCCATCTACCCTTGCAGAAAATACCCCCTCCCTCTATAAAAAGGCCTTTCAGTGAGCGCTCCCTTTTCCCACATTACTCCTGCGAAATGTCGTCTGACACATGGGCTTTAAGAGACCCACAGCTTCTCATTGACTGCAGGAAGACAATACGCCCTGATGGCAGCTCTTAAACTCAGTCAGATCCCCAGCTTGGACAAAAGGCTCTGCCCTTAACCTCAGACGGAGAGACCACAAACCAGCCTCTTATTTTCAGCCGCTGCGTTTCTGAGCATGCGGCTGAAATAAAAAATAAAGAAAATGTAGAAAAGAAAAGCGGGGATAACGAATTCATCCAAGTGAACACCCACAGGGCTCTGCAGAGCCCATATGCTGTGGGCATACCCCCCCCCCCAGCCAAAATAGAGCTTAATGGGAGAATAATTGCTTCCCACTGCTGCCAGAGGGGAGAAATAGCGTCGTCCAATTCCCTGCGCCGAATGCCAAGTGAACACACAACTCATACCTGGCGACTGAGGTTGGCAAGTGCCATCTGAGCGGCCCGGCGTCAAGCTGGGACTTCAGCTTCTTTAAAATGAGAAACGGTAAGCAGCTAGAGGTTATGTGGTCCTCCATAGCGTCCGGCAGACTCCGGAGGGGAGGGGACGGGACAGTGGGGTAAAATTAGACGACGGGACCCCCGAATAGAACTTAAAGGAACACTGCGCCAACACGTCTGCGGCCAAGTAGCTCCTTCGTTTGGATTTGTGGGCCAGGCAATGACAAAAAGCGTAGACGGGGCTCCGTGGGGTGGCTGGAATGCTAAAAAAGACATATGGCGCTCGCTCTCCACTTTCAAACAGACACAATGTTGGTGGGTGTGTTTAAAGTCAGCCTTTAACTGGCACAGAGCAATCCAAGCCGAGGCTTGTAAAAGTGGAACTCGCAGCTCTGATGGGGTCCAGGTGTCCCCCCCCCCCCCAAAAAAAAGTCTCTCAAAGCAGCACCGAATAAGCATCGAATCCCATCATCAATTAAATTTAAAAAAGGAGGCTTGTGGAAAGCCCTGAATCTGGGTTTGTCAAATCAAAAGGGCTCAAATATTTGCTGCCGTTTCGGTCATTTTGCCACAGGATGTGATGGCGAACTCTGACTTCCCAGACACGCTTTGCGGTTTCCTGTCTGGACCACCTAAAAGCGAGCTCCCTTCAGCACGCCGGGGCGACATTTATCACAACCCGGGCTGAGGCTTTATTGTGTGAAAGGTCAAGAGAGGTCACAGAAACACAAGATGGAACTTTTCAGCGGTAATTGATTGATTTTGATCCCATTCTTCTCCAGCGGCCGGTGGGGAGAGCTCCTGACCTCTGAGCAGACTGCATTTAAAACCCGGCCGTGTCTCTCCGGGGGGCTCATTAGACCCAACAATCGGGCCAAGGATGAGAACCACGGGGGAGGAATGGGACTGGGATGGGAGGAAATGGCAAACGATTCAACGTGATGACCGGCTTCATCATATGATGAGAGATGAGGTGGAAATGTTAACCCCTGTGCAAAAGAATTTGAATATACTTGAATTCTCTGCAGCAGCAGCTGATCAAAGTTCATGCAAGTGAGAGTGTTTTGCAGCAAAGACAAACAAAACTTATCTGACTGAAACTCAGCCTGCTTGCTGCACTTCAAATGAAACCCAAACCCTCCTAAAACCTGACCTCAAAGAGAGCACAAGTTTAGTCTGTACGAGAATCCAGAAGAAGAAAAAAAAGATTAACTCACTCTTCTTACATTTCAAAGCAGTTTCTCTAAAAGTAATTGTTGTACAACGGCTGACAACAAAGAAAAGAAGTTGCCTCTAAAACAGACTTCAAACGCGCATTACAGGCGGACTAGAAAGTCGCGCGAGCTTCAATCACGCGCCTCTCTTTACTAAAGCTAAAGTTAAGTTTGCCAGCATGTCAGAAAGTTGTCACGTTACCGAATTCGCCAACTTCTTCGCTTCCGTCGACCACAGCTGGGGTCAGTTCAGTGTTTCTCTCCAGTTTCTTGATTCAAATGTTGAGCTCGGTGTGTTAGCTTCTTGTTCTTCTTCTTCTCCTTCGTCTCCTGCTGGTTTTCACATGCTACACGCCGGACAAACTCACGGCTGTACGCGGGTCATCAGCTCCGGCCGCCGTCCCTCAGACCGCCAAACTCTGCTGCATCCGCGAAGACCCGCGAGGAGCTGCTGCTGCTGCGCGGCGTTCACGGCCCCTCGGCAATATGGGTACTGCACCTAAACAAGACGGGCAGCTGCGACCGCTTTACGGTCCCGCCTCATCTTCGCTGGAGTGATGATAAAACCGTCCACTTTCTTTATACTCCACTGCGACTATTACTGCTATGACCAGGGGAAAACACATGTTTTAAAAAAAAATCTTTTTCGCCACTTACCAAAAAATACTGCATCAAGCAATGATGAATAGATAGGAAAAAAATATTTTTCTTTTTAAAAAACTCATATTTACCCCCTTTTTAAAAATCAATTTACAATTTTCCAGAAGAAGCTGGACAATCTGTTTATTTAAATTCTATCTACATGCACATTATTTGATGATTTGGTTTTTAAACAATCATATATCATTGTTTAGCCTTTTTTCCCTTTAAAGTATCCACACAGTGCAGTGCAGAAACAATGATGCTATTTGGAAAGATGATCAATTATAACCTTGCAAATTACGTTTATGAGCGTCTGGTCAGCAGAATGGGGGGCTCACAAAGGATGACCATCTATTGATGGGTGCTAATTTATGTGAGTCGCCTTCGCTTTACGCAACCCCCTCCTCTCCCACACCTCTTCCTGCAAATCATCTCATGGTAACCCACAGATAGAAAGCAGAGGAAATAAACGTGCCGCAGCAGGTTGCATGCCTATTCGAGAGACTCATTGTCAGGTTTTGTAAGGATTTTATGACATGAGCATGAGAGAAAGATCTCCACAGACCTCTAAGGTTGGCTGGCTTATATCGCCATCTGCTGGCCACTGTTTCAAAACTTTCAAAAACCAGTGTAACTAGTGGAGTTTTTGTTTAATGGCTCAGGTTTGTCTTCTAATCCCTTTTTCTTTAACCAAAAGAGACTCACAAAAAAGCAGAAAAAACACTCCAATCCAGTGTTATTTATTGATTTAAGTTAATTTACTGTGGAGTCAGAAATCAAATAAATGGATATTTTATTACATCAATCTTTTACACAGAGTTCCTCATTGGCAAAACATGTGTTGACGTTTATTTGATATATAGAAGTATATGGAAAGTATGTAGAAATAATAAAAACTAAGTTTGTCCATAAATCCATCCTTTTTTCATTACCCTTTCTTCTGGTTCTGGGTTTCAGGCGGACTGGAGATGGGGATCCATGTGGGGGGCGGCAGATAGGCCCGTCCATCACAGGGAGGAGGGACACGCCGCCTCTGAACTGTAAAAGGTTTGTTGATATACCAAAAGCAGACATTTTTGCTTTTCATGTCTGTAAAAGAAACAGGTTTTGCGTTGTCATTCCTGAGCATCAATTCATTTTCACTCGTCTGACAGCGGAAAAATCGCACCATTTTCACATGAAATGGAGGTGTTGTCATTTCAGTAAGAATATTCCCAATTCAATTAGTCTCCTTTTGCTTTGTGGGAGGCTGAGAAAAAAAAAAACACACCGATCTCTTTTATACCACAGGTCTGACATCACTACTGTTATCTGATGAGCGTAAAATCGTCCCATTAAAAATGAAAAATTCCATTATTTGAATACTCTTAAAAAAATAAAAACTGTGACAGGACTAAACGTGTTGAGTATCATCTAAACCATGACCAAGAGGAGGTTGTGGAGTCAGACTGTGGTATGCAACAGGTTTGGCAGCCTTTTCCACAAGGAAAAAACACTTCAAAATTAAAGGGTTCATATCTTTATTCATTATGAACATCACAACACAGCAACAACTTATGGAGACTAAATCAGGCATTTTATACAAACACATCTGGAGTTTAAAACGTAATATTAGACAACATAGGTTAATAATCAATCATGTTATGATACTTGTTTAAGAATATGACTACTCTCAAAATAAGTTCCAATAAAAATATCATTTTCTGAAATTCTTATGTACATTTTAATGAAATACAAAGGAGTATGTAACAAAAGTCTAAAAAGGTAATGTGAAATAAACCTGAGGGAATCTCAAAATGTCAAAAGGGATCAGCTTGATGTCACTCATCCACTATCTTGGCTGTGAGAAAAATAAAATACAACATATTTTTAAACAGGTTCATATGTACCTATGTCCCGATGAAAGCTCTTTGAAAAAAGGCAGTTCACAGATCACTGATAATCCAAAAAGGGAGTTAGGCGATTAAAAAAAAAAAACAAGAAGAAAAGATACAGTCCGACAACTAATTACTGCCACATTAACGGCAGTCCTTCCCCTCTAACCTGAGCACAAACTATCATCCACCAACTTGTTTCGACAGGCCACAGCCACAACCAGAAAAAGAAAATAAAAAAAGCATTTAGTCAGTGAAGACTTCCTGCATTCGTTGCACTTTAAAAAAATACACATCCATATATGGACAAAGTGAGAAGCATCTCCTCCAGCACCGTACTACGACACGGGGGGGGGGGGGGGGGTCATATGGGCTTGGTGGTGCTGTTGTAGACCAGATGCTCTCTGTCCTCCAGCATGGTGGTGGGTGCGCTGCTGACCGGCACGCGCTGGTGTTGGGAGGACTTCTTCCGCTTCACCAGGCAGTACCCCAGGACGCCCAGCATGACGAGGATGGCCACGCACAGGACGGCGGCTATCACGATATTACCTGTGCAACGCATAAAAGTAGTGGTTTCAGGGATCCAACACTCAGCAGCAAAGTTATGCTAATTATATTTCACATGCTAGCACAAAATGAAAGTTCTTTTTGTTTTCTTTCCATTTTTCCCCACAAAAAATGGCAGTCAATCTCTTTATTCGTTACTTATTTGTAAAATAAATCTCAAAACATAGTGCGTATACACCATGTGTTGGTTAACATGTAATTCATTAACCAGGCAAAGACTCAGTGGAAGGCTGTAAAGGTTCAGAGGGGAAAAAAAAGAAGGTAAATACCTGTCGCATCATCAGATACAGACTTTTCATATTCTTCCTTTCTTTTAAACACATCCTTTTCTGAAAAAAGAAAGAAAAAAAAGCATGATATACATTTAGGGTGTTAGTGTTAGTATCAATGACACACTATTACGTCCTCAGTGCAAACGTCCAGCAGATGCTGCCTGTAGACTCAATCTGACCTCATTTTCAAGCCTTATGTTTAGAAAGACTTACCGACTTTATATGTGTGTAGTCAATGTTTTTTTTATTTCCTATTTACGGTTACACACAACTCACCCGTCACCCCGCGACAAAACTTTTTGCAAGTGGCCTGATCGTCGAATCGGTTCTCGTTTCCGGCGCAGCCGCCGTAGTTGAAGCGGACACAGTCCTGTATGTAGGGGTCGTAGTACCACTTCGGGTTGGTAAATCTGCAGTTTCCTGTCTCGGGGGGCTCCGTGCAGCGCACTGCGAACAACAACAAGCGTTCGATAAGCTCAGCCGGAGAGTCGTTCAGACAAGAAGCTTCACAGACGGCGGGTTCCAGTCACCTTTTTGTTCATCCACTGGGATCTCCAGCAGAATCCGAAACCTGTTGTTCACTGGCGGATAAGAGAGCGAAACTCGTGTTAGAAAGTCTCTCAAACGAACGGCTAATCGGGTTATCGTGCCCGATGTATACGGCGAGGCTCGCTTTGCTGAGTCAGCACTCACGTTCTTCGCATTTCTGCTCGTCCGATCCGTCGCTGCACTGAGGGGTGGAGTCACACTCCAGAGCTGGATCCAGGCAGCAGCCGTTGGCACAGCTGAACTGATCCGGGGTGCACGGCGTGCCGCACGTTTCCCCTGTGCCAAACAAAGAGGACAGCCTCGGTTTGACTCCATATGAATGCAAATGCTCATTTAACCAGATGGGCAGATTGGAATTTTGCATTTCTACTTCTGTCTGGAGACAAAGCACAAGACATGATGATACTAGACAGAATTTACCTACCAATGTCTGTAGGAAGAGGTAAACCTCTACCGCTGACACCCTCTTTCCCTGAAAGAAAAACAGCCAAAAAGAAACAAATGAATTTGATCTATGCATTTTTTAAAAATATATATATATTTTTTTTCCCCCACAATCATTGTATAGACCCAAATGAAACTTTAAAAAAAAAAAAGTTCTCATTTCACAGATGCTTTTCTCAGTTTTTAAATGTGAAACCATCTTTTAAAAAAATAATTTAAAAAAAAAAACATTCACACAGCGGAATTATTTAAGATAACTAATCACAATTTCTGAAACGTCTGGCCATTTCTGATGATCACATAACAATGCTTAATGTTATTCATTCATTCATATATTCATGTAGCCATTTCGCCTGCTTTTGGACTTAATCCAGCAGCTGATTTGTGCAAACCAACTATTTTAAGGGCTTGTTCATTTGGCCTTTTTCATCTATTCTCCTTTTCGTCTTTCACCGCCAAAGAAAAAAAATAAAATAGAAAGGAAAAAATAAAAACAGAATGGAAACACACACCTGAGCCGGAGCAGGCGTTCTCACACTCAACCTTCTCCACGTAGTTGTTGAGATTCTCTTTGCAGCCCCCGAACGTGAACTTCTCGCACTTCTTAGAGGCAGCGTTGTAATGCCAGCGGGGGAAAGAGCCACGGCACGGCCCAATTTTCATCGGAGCCATACAGTGATCTGGAGGCACACAGCGGCACGGATTAGACTCAGTATGCATCCATTTCCACTCCACATCGGACCATAAACATCACTCAAATTCCAACAATCAACATGGGATTCTGCCAGCAAAACCAGGTTTCTGAATTCCTTCGATTTCCATGAGAAACCTGCGAGTTAATGATTTAATGTCCCCTGTGTGCTGTGAAGCAAAAGGTGTGATTATGCAATGTAGTTAGGAATTACAGGAATTTAAGTGATCTCAATAAGTGTTCATCAGACCCATTCTGAAAAGTGTAACACTGGTTTCATACACAAACCAGCGTGTGAAGACGAACCATTATCGCTTTTAGCTCATTGCTCTCTTCTGCTTTTTTTTTTCCTCTTGAGGTTTATAAAAATGATACGAAACTGCCCGTGGGACTAAAACAGCCGAGACTGAGGGTGAAACAATGGCTGATGCATGAAAATTAGGTCAGGAACCCGGATGTGGACCGTCTGCTGGTCAGCTGGTAGCGTGCAAAACAGCAGCCAAAACCAAATGAGACAGAAAAAAAGTCTATATCCCAGCTGGTGATAGAGCCATTCATGCATTGCATTGCTGACATTCAGAGGAATTGTCCCTGAAATGGTGAAACATTTCCCACAATTATCTGTCAATGGGTAACAAAGCTCCAGCATGGTCAGAAGACCTTTATTTTCCTTAAATCAACCAACCAAGCGCGAATACAGACCCGGAAGAAAGAGAGTGCCTTTGAAAATGATTAAATTAAGGAGTCCCTTTCAATCAATTCTGCCTTTTGAAACAATGACGCTAGTCTGGCTTATGAAATGCAAGCTGAAACCAGACCGACAGGTTTTGTTGAGTGGGGGGTGGAGGGATGGTATCAGAGGAGCAGTAAAAACACACAAACGGCTGTCGTGTTTCTGTAGAAGCGCGTTTCAGTGACAGAAACCCAGACATTGCATACAGTGACTAAGCTTGACATTTACCAACCACATGTTAGTGGTCTAATCTCTTAATTCATCTTGCTGTGGAGTTTCCCCCTAGCGTGAGATTTTGTCTCTATTGTGTCACTGTTCCCCTCCATGTCCTTGTCAGTGAGAACTTGAGCATGTCAAGACAGGTTTACAGGTTTCCTGATAACACGGAAAGGCGCCTTGCAATTGATAAATCCAGGTTAGTCAGGAAACCTGAGAGGCCGGGTTCTTTGGATATTAATCCGGAAGTAACATCAGAAAACTTGAACCGACACAACTCCTACAACCTTTCAAGAAAGCGTTTATCAAGGGGAGAATGTCGGTTCGGTGGAAATTAAAGCGTCACAAGATAAGTTACCGTGGCAGAGGCCGGTGACTCACTGCCTCTGAAACTCAACCCTTTCTCCATCCAAATTCCACACAATCCAGCAGGCAGTGCGTAAACATGATGAAAACACAAATAGAGGCGTTCAAAGTGTCTGAGCGTAGATACTCACGATCAGATTGCTCGGGGGTGAGGACCAGGATAGAGACTTTGGTCGTGTCCGACTGACCAATGGTGTCCGTGACGGTCAGCTGGAACTTGTACATCCCGGATGACAGATTTGAGACGATGACCTCATCGGGAAAGGTGGTTTCCTGTAAGGGGGGAAGCAGAAATGTTAGCTGTAAATCCACAGCAAAAAGGACTGGACACACAATATTATAGCCAACATTTAAAATACGGTTTAGTGGACAGTAGCAAAGGTTTACGCCGTGGTCAGTCTTTTTTGTACCTCCATGACAAGGTGAGGATAATCGTCAAGGCTCTGCCACTTGAAGGACACAATCCCTTTGTCGTCGGTGCTGTGGAGGCCGTTCAGAGTCACGCTGTCGTGAGGCTGGATGACCCGGTCCAGGCCTCCGTTGGCCACCGGCGGACTGTCCGCCTCAACTGCGAAGAGACAAGATCAGCACTTTAAAATGTCACCAGAAAGCCCGCAGAGACAAACAGCTCACAAAACCCAAAACAAAAACAAAACAAAGGCCATCCAGGTGAGCTGATTGACAACCTGGAGACGGTCAGGTGGCATTTCTCCCCAACATGTGCGGACAGGCAGAGCTGAACCTGTCCTGCACATTTCCCCCCCCCCCCACAAACTGAGTTCCCACGGTTAATGTCAATAAAACTGAACTCCATCAGACTGCTGGAGGTTCATATTTTAAATTACCTTGAAATGGAGCTCCAACAGATTCTGTTCAATCTTTCAGTAGATGCACGTGTATTTAAAAAAAAAGTATATTTAAAAGACATACAAAACCACAATTATTTCTGCCTCAATTAACTATTGTGTTCAAATCAATTGTGCCAAAGGGTTTTCACGTCAATCAGATCCCAATTATTCTAAGAACAAATCATTTCCCTCTGGTATTATTAAAGTATTTCTGATTCTGAACTTCTCGTTCGACTGGGGGGGGGGTTACTCTTACTTTTGATGACATCCATGTCACGATATCTCTCATAAACCGCGTCCAGCATGTAGTTGATGTATCCCTTCTTCCTGACGAAGCGGCAGACGTATTTCTTCTTGTACAGGCAGTCGAACAGAAAGCAGGAGGCGATGGCGCCCTCCTCTTCGCCCCGCTCCATCAGGGCCACGTTGCAGCGCGGCTGCTTGCAGCAGGTCACCACGCAGTCCTTGTACCGGTCCAGCTTGGGCGCGGAGATGAACGTGGCCCCGTCTTTCACGGAGCCGTCGGCGTCCAGGACGAAGTCGTCCTTGCCCCTTTGGAAGTGTCCGGCGCACTGGCCGCCGAACTCCTGTCCGGTGGCGCAATGCGCGCTGAGGAGCAGGAGCAGGAGCGCTCCACCTAACCCACCCATCATCTTCAGCCCCCAAATCAAACCCAGAAAACACCTGCTGGCACCGTCAACTACAAGACCGAATAAAGAAGTCCAGTCAGTCCAAGATCAGGGAAGCAACACACAGGCCGCAAACAAACCAAAAAAAAGTCCCGAACTCCGCAAAAAATTCTCCCTTAAGTAAGAGGGAACTGAATTAAGACTTCCTGGTGCTCATCCAGACTTAATACGACGAATCCGGTGAGGTTTCACCCACTAATCTCACCGACTCTGAAACTCCGCTGTCGACAAACCTCTACAAAAACGCACGGCGTAACACGAGTGACTCACCTGAGAAACACAGGAAGTGAAATTCCACCCCTGGGCCGCACCCTTCTCGACGACCGGAGCTCCAAACAAAACAGGGCCGACGCGCGTTCACGTGAAGCCAAGGTGGACCCTTGTGTTGTCCCCTCCCTCCTGAGGAGCTTTAAGTACCTGATCAGAGACCATTAAAGAAGCATCGCTCATTCTGAACTGAGAAATGGAAATGCTGTTGTCCAGGCGTTCCTAAATACAGAGAAAAATGTCCTCCGTACACAAACGCACAGGTGGTGTTTTATTGCATGCAGATGTATGAATAAAACATGTTTGTTTTGGCCAAAAACTAAATGCTGGTCAGACAGTTGGTGAACTCTACAGATGACAAATTGTTACACAAGAAGACAAATATGGTTAAAGAAATGTTTTGGTTTGAGAGCGAAAGTTAACACTGAGGTAGCAGAATGGACGGAAACTGAGATAACACCCTGTTGCATTCATATTTAAATCTTTTGTTAAGCAAGTTGACATAACAGCACAGTATTCATCCACCCATCCATCCATTGTGTCCACTGCTTATTCCCAGTGAGGCTGTTTGGCCTATCACAGCTTGGGTGCATTGTCAATCCATCACAGGGCCACACAGAGACAAACAACCACATTCACTTTCACTCCAACAGGAGAATTATTCATTAACCTCACATGCAGACTTCTGGACTGTGGGGGGGAAGCCGGAGTACCTGGACAGAACCCACCATAGAACACGCCACTGTAGCCTTCACATAGTTTTCAACATGAGATCTGGACTCTCCAGTCTCACAATCTTTACTCCAGAAGGTGGCAGTATGATTCCACCAACAGCTGAAGCTCAAAAACAGAGTAAGGAATAGTTTGTTTATTTATTTGTATTTATTTTTTGGCTCTTTCTCTCAGTTATGGCATAGTTCTCGGCCTGTTCGTATTTTATTCCACAAATCCCCTGGTCTTGTTTTTAAAACCCTGATAGCAAGCTTATGCATCTGGTGAGTCATTACATCAGAGTGTGAGATGAGTCATGAAGTCCCAAATGAGCCCATCAGCACCTGCGGAGCAGCAGGAAGTGGACACTTACATGATGAAATACAGGTATGCTGTTGGAAGGCTTTAAACTGAATCCTAATTACAAGCAAACCTTTTCAGGGGGTAATTGGCTGTGGAAGAAAAAACCAAAACAAAGGCCCGACCCAGACGTTTCTCGACTCTCTGACGGGGAGAGTTTACATCTTTTAACAGGGCTGAGGTCAGGATTATTTACTGCTGCTGCCTTCCAGGTCGAAGGTGAGAGGACCTAACACGGGTCCCCAGCCCGGGCCCCTTTTTTTAGCCAGCCCCACGGAGCAGAACCGAGACTGGGATCAATGAATTTGTTTGCCGGGAAAGGTGAGCCGCCAGAGGCTCTCAATAATTCAGAGTTTGTAACAGACGGTGCATCAGTGGGTGAACGCACTATGACTGATGGATCGCTCCTGCCAAAACAAAAACCAAACCCCATTCTTCATACCGTAACAGGAGATGTGGAAACTCCACAGCACGTCGCCTCTCTTGTCTTACCTGCGACAATTTTGAGAGAGACAACACAGCTATGAATATCTGACCTTTTGGACGTATGAAGGGGTTGATGTTTGACTGTGCAAACGGAGGATTTTAGGAGGAGAGCAGCTCCGAGTTTGCCTCGGTGACACCTGTGAGTGCTGCTCTGCTCTTCATCCATAATGTAAGAGGGCGTAACCGAGGATGCTGGTTTGACTTCAAGGCCTATTAAGCCTGTACCTGATAATGGCTGTAATAAGGGACAAAGAACCCACCACACTACAGGAACCCTGGTTTAACTATCAGGGGACACTCCTACTGTCAGATGGGTCTGTGAACGCACCATCCCTTTGCTGCTAAAAAACTTGTGACATAATACTTCTGATGGTTTTACAAGGTATGTCTCATTCACGATTCATGTGACAGATACCAAAAGCACGAGAGGAGAAAGATGATTTTTCTTCTGCTTTGATGCGTAAGACACGTTCGTGTTTTCGGCCAAAGCGGAAATCTCGAGCTGTTTGTCCTCTCACCTTTCCTCCACTTTTTATGGCTGCAATTGACCTATGCTCCCCCGGCTGCCATAAGACAGGAGGGCAGAACAGAAAAAAGCAAACACACGCCCTGTGGAGCGCATGCACAAGCACGCACTGAGCCCTATATCTCATTACCATCCTCCTGATAGCGCAGGCAGTGGGTGTTTCAGGAGGAGGAGGAGGGAAGGAGAGCAAGACAGGGAGGTTTAGAAGAGAGGGAGGGAGAATTGGGGGGGGGGACAGGCAAGGGAACCGGAGCCGTTAAAGGGACGGAGAGCACCGGCAGACACGCGTGGGAACGGAACCCCGTGGAGACAGACGCACACCCAGAGAGAGAGAGAGACAGGGGGACGCAGTCTGTGTCTGTCCGGGTGTTCTGCTCAGTGTGCCCGCGCACGGTTCTCCGGAGGGCCGTGGCCGCCATGGCGTCAGAGCCCAGCACCCAGTCCAGGGTGATGTTCCAGGCGGCGGACAAAAGCGAGGAGCCGGCCCACCGCAAGCTGGGCAAGCTGACCGTCAAGTACAACCGCAAGGACCTGCAGAGGAGGCTGGACATCGAGGAGTGGATCGACGGGCAGCTGCACCTGCTGTTCGACTGCGAGGTATGGACGAGGCTGGCCGCCTCCAAAACGCACTCAGACGCGCACCGTGATGGGTGCCCGAGGAGGGGGAAGAGGGTACAGAACCCCCTAAACTGCCTGAGATGGGCTATCCATCATGTGCGAGAGACTAAAGCGCGCTGAGAGGGGAGCGGGTGGGAGGCAGGAAGCTGTGCGTTATGCCTGCAGGTTCTGGCTCAGAAGCCCTGATGTGTCATCAAGTTGACTGCAGAGTCAGCCGTGTGTGCGCAGTAGTGTTCCACCACGGTGATAAGATTAGTCTGCCGAGGAGGGATATCTTTCTCCCTCAAACATGTCGCAACCTCAATAAAAAGGCATTTGGATGGTTTGACTTTGGGAAAGTTGTGGCGTTTCAATTACCTGCATTGTAAAGAATAACTTCATCAATTGCCAGAGAGAAGCAGCATGAAATTGTTAGTACCAAAACGGCTTTGTGGAGATTATGAAAAATGGCACAAGAGGAAACCAAAATTTCCTGTAAGTGCTGCAGCATCCAGGATGACACCTCCTCAGTTAAGTCTCTGTCTGTGTCTAATGACTATACAGGACATAGGCTCTACCAACAATAATTAAGACTGATAAGGAGTGTTTTTTTTACATTAAAACAAAATTTCCTTGGTTTACATGCTGCCTTAAGAGAGATAATTTATGTTAGTGCAGAGAGAAGTGTGCCCACTTAATTCTGTGGCTGTGTAGAAGGCTACATTTTCATATTCAGTCTTACAGAGAGACATCAATCACCTTTCCCACACAACAACACAGCCTTAATAACTCCACTCCTGTGCTGTGGGATACAATCCAATTATGTCAGAGGCTCCATATTGATGTGCTTGGCGTTCGCCGAGGGGAAACCATGGCAACAGATGGCTGATCGCCTGCACGAGGCGGCGTGGCGCGGTGAAGTTAGGGGCGTCTGTAGAGGAGCAGGAGAGTCCCGATGACCACGCCGATCGGATGACGAGGCGGCCTGCAGAGACAAAGTGTTTCTCATTTCATTTTCAAAGCGACAGAGACACTCCGGGCTGCAGATGGCTCTGTAACACCTCTCTGCTTGGTATCCTCTTACACTGCAGAGAGCCCTTTGCCTATGGCACACACTAATATGCCAACGTGAGAATGACTTGCATCTGTAACATGGAAGGAGGTGCTGGTGCTGGTTCAGCCTTGAAAAGTTTCAGTGTCATTGATTCAAAAGGCTTTTTGAATATCCTCATATTGAACACTCGTAAGCTTTGCCCTGTTGTTGGTCCCCAGGCCTCTTTCTCTGAGGTAATACGTGGTAATACGCCTGTGAAGCTGCAGGCAGAATAATCACATTAGTGAAAACCAGGACATGCAGATTAAAAAAGAAAAAAAAAACTAATCTGAAGTGCCTGCTCTTTTCATCTTGGCCCGAAAAAACGCAATTATCTTGTATACGCTGCGCTTTGCCTTTTTAAGTTCCAGCTGCAGCATAATCAGACGCTGGAATAAGTGTGTCATACATGTTCGGCCCAGATAGTGAAAGAAGTTGTTTTATCCACTACCTGACAGATGGAACGTCAGTATGATTGATGAGCTAATGAGAGATAGCAATAAAATGTTAAATTTCTCTCTCTGCATCATGGTAATATGCAAATACATCAATTTGTGAGTTGCCATTTATTACAAATTTTCCTGACAGAGATCAATGTTTTTTGCTATTTGAAAAAGAACACCTAACTCTCTGACAGTGAAAGGCTGGATATTTGCATAAGCCGCTTGTCTAGAAGTAGTTGTGGCTGGTCCATGTGCGCTGGGCGGCGTAATGAATTTTGCATGGGGCTCGGGGGAAGGTTACTCTGTTGGTTTTCTGAGTCTTCCTTGTGGAAGCATTTACCGTCAGTCCCCTATGTCACCTCCTGAATTATTTAGCTTCTTCTCTAATTCATACAAGCGCTGCCTCAGTCTGGGGTGGACCCTTTTATCACAGACTTCACACCTTTTGAAAAATAGTAAGCTAACAAAAAAAAGGGTGAAAAAGAGTTGGCAGTTGATAATGGAAACTAAGAGCTTTTGTGTGCTGAGCTCATATCTGAGTTTACATTGAACAAATGGATTGAAATCCAGTGTTCAGACTGTGGGACAATAAGAGAAATTGCTGCTAAAAAAAAGTTCAATCTCCATAAGACTTGATGTGGATTTAGAGTATTGTATAACAACAGGAAATGGGCTGCTTTTATGTTTTTTGACAACAAGATTTGAAGCTATAAAATTTCGTTACCCTCTTCGAACCGTTCCACCAGAGAAGTTAATGGATGTTTTCGTATGGCAACAGCTCGTACAACTGGCAGGAAAAGGAAAGGGCCTGATAAGTTAAACACGCACCGGAATCTTCTCAAAACAGACAAATTTCCCTGGGCATGGTTTCCCTTAAAACAGCAAACACACACAACAGTTGGCATGTGATGGAGAGGCACAATGCCTGATGTTCATGTTTTGCTGTAATATTTTTCAGGATGAAAAGCGAGCTGACCGTAAAGCTTTGGGTAATTAAAGGAAGTTTAACTGCAACAAAGGGTTTCGACAACACTCCCCATTTCCTGACAACTTGTGTACCTCACAAAGATTAGAGGCATGTTTTGGCCTAAGGATTCAAAATCATTACTCAGCTCAGTTTAGTCATCACAAATAAACCATGTGAAGACTGACCTCAGGCATTATTAGAAACATTAGGCAATGTCGCACTCCACTTGAAATATGAAATACTGAAATCAGAAATCTGCGATGCAAGACTATCTTTTGAATGATGGGAAATTATAAGCACTTAAACTTTCATGATTCTGAAATGTAGATTGGCAAATTTCTCAATCTGGGCCACTCATCTTTTCCCGCAATTCTCCCCAGACCTACTTTGATATTCATGGATTCCCGTATCAGTGCCGCTGCTCATTTCTGCTTGAGTTCAAGAAACTGCTGCTGAGCTGTTTTTTTCCCGAAGGCCTCATTAAAATCCAGTGTTTCTTCCACAATGGTGTCAACTGAAAAAAGCTGAAATCTTTGACTGCGTTCAAAACGAAGTCATCTAAGTCACCAGTTTCATGATAAGTGTGTGTGTGATACAATGAACTCACGCTGATGTTTATTGAGTTTTTCTGCCCATGTTATGCTATTCTCCATAGTGTTTTACCATGAAATCAAGTTCACATGCACATAAACCTCAAGTATAAAATTATAACAATCTCATTAACATAAGAAGGACTTCAGTTATACTAAAAAGGTACAAAGTTATAGCAAAGAAATCTTGAGCATGGACTGTGAGTTCCGCCCTGCATGTTTCCTGCAAACATCAGCAGAATCTCAAAGGGTCCAAACTGGCAGCATGTATCAATTAGAGAGGGCGCAGGAGACTCTGAGGGAGGGTCCATCTATTGCGGCACTCAGCACTTGCACATTGATTTGCTCTCTCCTCATCTAAAGCTGCGCGAGCCCCATCATCTTCAGCCACAAAAATTCCCCAGCCGGAAAATATGGCGTCTAAAAAGGGGCCACACTTGTCAGATGCGAGTGCATACCTGCTGACTCCAGATCTCTTAATGTTCAGGAGCCCACTGGCAAGCACTCTTGATTCCCTCTGAAGATGAAGTTGGAAATCATTACGAGTCCGGGATGGGGATGGATAACTTTACTACATTCGCTTCTGAAGGCTTGACACTCTGCCATGTACTTCAGTTTGGCGTCCATCTTCAAACACGTTTCCCAATTCTTGATTAATTTAGAGGGATATTTCAGGAAAACAGTCTTAAAAGTTTTTCTAAAATGCACAGATAACTTTTTATCCACTAATTTTTATGTTATTTCAGTGTTGTGAGTAACAATCTGAAATAAATGTATTCTCTAGAGAATATTTCATATGGAAGTAATCTCACTGGACCAGCTATAAATGCCATCAGGTTAATTCCTCCATGAAATCTGAATTTGATGTGTTGCAAGTATGGCTTCATTCAGCCTCTCTTCCTCAGTGTTTCAAAAACATTACATTTGACTGAGATGTTTATTGGGAATAATATTTTAACCAAAGAATGATACCATCCACTTTGTTTCCTGTCTTCTCTCACAGGAGGAAGAAATCCCGGAGTTAGAAATCGACATAGATGAACTCCTGGAGCTGACGGATGAGGGGCAGAGAACTCGGCTGCAGGTGAGAGCAAAGAAATACCGTCTTTATACTGTTATCTCTAGTTCTAGCTTGTTTAGGTCGATAAAAAAATTCTACTTTTTCTTGTCCTCCCCTCATTTTCTGCAGAACATTTTTGTACGCTACTGTGGGAAAACTTGATTCTAGGCTTGCTCAGATTGGTTTGACAGATCAAAAAGAGGCGAGCTGAGTAGCTGCTTGCACCCTTTAACACACAGAGATGTCCCCTAGTAGCAAATGAAACGTAATTGGGCAAATCTGTTTTGCAGTGATGTAATTACATAAATGGGGATGAGATGACTCCCATTTAAGCTTTTCAGGTTGCTTAAAAACAGTGTTTCCTTTGGGATGGAAAATGCCTTAAAGTTAAGTCTTGAGTTTATACCATCAGGGTACATTCCATTAATTAATTTTTCTTAATGGAGTTTTGGGAAGTACTCATCTTCACACAGTGCACAGAGACTAGGAAGATCTTAGTTGGAAGAATCAGATGGTTTGGGATGGGCAAGTTAAGCGTAAAGTTTTAAATAATGAGAAAGGACAATTAGAAAGAGCCTTTGCTGCCATGAGAAAGTAGAAGAAGTTAGATTTAAAAAAATATATATATATTTTTGTTGAGTATGATACTGTCTCAAACATCCCCTAAGATTATTCATGATGACTTGCATTATTCCTTTGTGTTCCAGCAGAGCTGAGGAAGTCTCTTGCTGAACGCGCTCCACTGTTATGTTGAGAGTAGGCGGCATTGTTGATTATGTTCAGCAACTTGTCCAGATAAGCTGTTTTTTAAATCAGCTCCTGGGGCTCCAAACCTCCAACATATGGGCAGAACCATGGGCATCGACTAGACCGTCACACTTAGTTTGGGAACAGTCTTGTAGCAACACTGTTCGTAATGCTTTCAGTGGCAGTGTGAGCTGCACTCTCACATGAACGCGTCACACCACCTAATTCAGCCATCTGACAAAGAAGAGATGTCTTATCATTAGTTTAGTAAATCATTTGCTTGGTATTACCATGAATTTGTTCTGTGTTTGAGTTATGAGATCATGATTTTAGCTTTAGCTTTAAGAGCAGACAGCTGTCAGACCTTTCTCTGTATCAAATGCGACAACATACAAAAAACAACAACTATTCTGTTAAAAAAAACAACATTCTGCTTCTTGTCTTTGTTAGGAGTTGCTGCAGGAATGCGGAAAGCCAAAAGAGGTGAGATGAACAAACCACGCTGGTAAAGGAAAGAAATTACAGCATCACGCATGAAATAATGAAAGTATTTTGTAATGGGCATTTTGTGATGCTAATAAAGCTACATAGGCATTGAATCATCTCTCCCCGTCTTCCCTATAGGAATTTATCAATGGGCTGCTCTACAGGATAAAGGGTTTACGCAAAATGTCAGGTCCCTTGAAGAAATAATTTTAGGTCAAGTTACAAAGCAAGACAATGCAGAGCCTCTTGTGTTCCCATCTCCCACGTGATGACCATTCGGATGCCTGTATGTGCAGTTCACGGGTCAGAGGAACTCTTCCAGGCCCCTCCCTCCTTCCTGGGTCAGCATCAGTCAAACACCAAAGCAGCCTGCTTCAAAATGGATTCATTTCTCCTTTAATTTATGGACTCTTATAATTATTTGTCTCCTTTTAATATACATGTTTTAAAAGTTCCCATGACTATTACTCAGATGGAATTTTTTTGATGTAGGAGTACATTTTTGGTTGCTTATTTATGTACATATGCATTTTGTTCAGGTCAGTGTTGTCGTAATAAACTGAACATTTTCAACAAAGCGGTGCTGACGTGTTTTCCTCCCACCAAATTCACAGTGCCAATGAAACGACTTGTTTTCACAGTAGCTCTTTATTGTTACTCTAAAACACAAAGAATCATTATGTCCTTCCGTCTGCTCACTACTCAAAATGATTCCGATACAATGGCAGGTTGTTATAAGGCATACATTTTTCAACAGAGTGATGGAAACAAAGGAGCTGTTGACATGTCGAGTCTAGGATTAAGTACACTGTAATAAGCAGCAGGATGTTCCATTAACCATGCACCCATTATCCCGGTCCATTTCCTGTCTGTGGTGGTGTGGTATATGTTATGGCCAGAAAAGGCAAACGTGGGCAACAGCTTCAGTGCAAACCTTAATGGAGCTGTCCCCCAGAGGAGAGCGTAGCTATGGTTTCTCTTCAATTAGGCAGTAATGCACCCTGATGAAACAGCACTCTGGCCCTCTGTCTGTCGTACACCGGGGGTCCTTTTGTTAAGGGCTCCATTACAGTAATTTGTGAGGCTCGACCCCATTTCCATTCTTTTTCCACTGACACAGAAGCCAGGAGGACTTTATATAATACAGTATGGCTAAAAATATGAACAAAGCCTTCCAAACTGAGACAGTGTCACATTATGTCTTTGCTGTTAGCAAAAAATGCCTCTGAGATAACAATAAAACTTCTTTTTTTTTTTTTTTTATGTGACAGTACCAAGCAGTTTTGCTTCTTTTATGATAAAACTACACACAAGAACAAGAAAGCCAATGTTCATGTCAGACTACCAGACAAAAATAGAACTGCAAAGACTGACAGCAGAAAGGACACAAAGGCCCTGTTACTCTTTCATTCTGACTCCTCTGTACGTCTTCAGTCTGAGGCTGACAACAGTCTGCAAGTGTACATCATCCCAGATGAGCTCATGATCCGTCTACTTTCTATATCTGTTCTAAAAACCTAAATAGCAAAAGTAAACAGTGCAAACTACGCTTAGAAGGGGTCTGCGCTGCCATAAAAAAAGTAGGACAACTTGACTTTAAAGATGATATGAAAATGCCTTTTATTCACTGCGACATTTCTAAACTGCTCTGTACAACGGATCTGTGCAGTCTTGCAAATGCAAATGCTATTTCTACTTCCTATATATAAAAAAAAAACGACAAGTTGTTCAGTATGTTATGATCCTATACGCTGAGGGATATACCACTAACTGTTACTTAATGTGGCTTCTGACCAGCAGGTACAGGCAGTAGGCTGTCCTCGTTAATGACTGGCAGCAAAAATGGGTTTATGGGGTATGACATGCCCAGATTTAATGTAAATGATGTGTATTGTTAAAATTGTCTAACAATGACAAGTACTTTTGCCTTAATAACAAGCTAAGGGGCTTCTAACATGAAGGACACGACTGACAAGCGAGACACCTGCAGCTTCACTTCATCATGTCTGCTGCTTCTTTTTCTTCTTTGGTGCAGTGTAGTTAGTGGTGTGATGCTCCTTCCTCTCATATTTATCATGGCCTTCCCTGAGGAGATAAGGGAGAGTTGATTGATAATTCATCACACTAAATACTTCATTTTCATGCTGCTTAACAGTATGGAAACCGCCTGCGAACAATTTATCTGGGTCATGGTATGCATTCCAAATCCTCCCTCTGGGGCATCAGAGTAAAGATTTCCATGCAAAAGCGTGAGTGACGACCCAGAAATCTCACTATGTTTGTTATGATCAAGGATTGTTATGCTACCGAAAGCAGCGGTTGCAGTACAGGTCTCCATCACAGTTGTGACAGCGCAGGGTGGCGTCTTGGTTACAGATGCAGCACCAGGGCAGCTCTTCTTCATCACCGTCTGATGACAGATGTGCAACAGCAGCAGGCAGCGTCTTGCTCTTTTGTGCAGGAGCAGCAGTCTGTAACACAAAGCACATCCAAAGGTGCTTACATGGACTCATATTGCTTGAAATGCTTAGGAATTTACTTTTTTTAAAAATTCAAGTACCGGTTTCTTGGAAGTTTTTTTCTTTTCGGTGTTTCTAGGCCCACTTTGTTCTAAAGGTATGTTGTAGCCACTGGCCTCGTCAAGCGCAGCTTCTTCTGAGAGCTAAAAGCAAAGTCAGTAGAATTAAGTTTCTGAGTCTGTAGTTCAAAACACAAATGATTAAAATGGTAAAACAGCAGCCTCTTGTGGTCACCCGGGCAGGTCTGACTTCACAGCGGCCTTCAGGGCGTAAAGGCAGATTAATCATTGATGATTCATTTTTATCTTGTGTAATAAATGGTCTGTGCTGTTCCTGAAATGTCTGACCTGTTTTAATACTCTCTTCACTGCCTCCTCCTCAGTTTCTTCTTCACTGTCAGGATGTTTGAAGTCTTCCATTGTGACTACAATTGTTAGAAAAAAATCAGTTTGAAAATACATGAACATTTAACGTGAAAAACATTGTGCTTACATCAAAGGTCTGTCACATTTTGCAGAGAACCCATGCTTAACAGATAAGACTAGTGTGCACCTTTGTCTGGGTCCTGACCCTTCAGCGTTGCCAGTCTCTTGGCTACGTGGAGGATTTGGTCTTGAGAATGGCGCTCATTCCTCAGCTCCTCCATGGCTTCCTCGAGCAGACGGTCTTTCTCGTCTTCGAGCTGCTTGACTGTTCCCTGGTTCTCCTCCAAGTTATCATCCAGTGTTGTCCTTTGTCCCTTGTTAAGGTCATTCATTAGGTCATCTACACCTGAAAAAAATAGAAATTAAGGGAAAAAAAGTAGTTGGTTTGATGAAAAAGTCAGATTAAATCACTAAGTATTAACTTACTGGATTCAGAATTTGATTGCTGGTTGTCAATGGCAACTTCCTCTGTCATTTGAGTTATCAAATCATTGGTTTGTTCAACTTGAGTCCGTCTATCAGGAGGCTGGTGTACCTGTGCATAGAAGCACATGTCAGCAATAACAGCAGACTAACAACTCAGTTACTTATGAACAGTTAGAAATTTAGATTTGAACTGAACTGGATACTCTTAAGAAAATGTTTGAAATCTGTACAATGCAACTCTGCTCACAGGTGGAGGAGCTTGCGATGGTGGTGGCTGACCCCTGAGAGCTGCCAGGCGGTCCTCCATCTCCTCTGCCGAAGGCACTGGCTGGGTAGGAGCTTTCAGAGCAGCAAGGCGTGACTCAATCTCTTTATCAGAGGGGATAGACTCTGAAGAAACAGAAAAATCTTTGGGGTGTTTTTCTTTTCTTTAAAAAGAAAAGAAAGAAAGGAGAGACACAACTTTGTCCACTAAAACAAAAGGCAGACAGCTAGTAATATTACTTGGTTTGGTGTCCTCTTTAAGCTTTTGAAGTCTCTCCGCAATCGCCTGGTCTTCTTTACAGAGGCCTTTCGCAGGTACAGGCCCTGCTTTGCTGTTCCGACTCCCACCATGAACAGCTGGCTGCGTCCCCTTTCCCTGCTGTTTGGCCTCAAGTGCAGCAACCCGCCTATGGAGGACATGACCCTTAAATATTATGAAACTGCTGTGGTGCCAATGTGCCATTTTAGTGAAATATGATCATATACTGACTTCTTGTAATTTTCAGGGGGGGACCATCTCCCAGCACTGCTTTGAGCCTCCCCACTGACAAATGAAGAGAACATAAAGCCTCCATTGCTGCAAATACAATTCAAATCAGCTTGTTTCATGGCTTATGCGCGTGGATTTTACCTGGTCAGGTTACCATGGCACTGCTTGCAGACCTTCTGCTGGGTGTTGCCACAGCGAGGCACCACAGCACTGAAAGTCAAACAACTGGAGCAGAAGGACCGGCCGCAGCTCTTACAGCCCAGCTGAGAGGACACGACAACGTAAACTACACAATACACGCAACTTCAAACACATTTGTGTGTGTGTTTAGCTGTGTCACTGATATTAGCCAACAAGACCATACCTCTTTCTTGAACAGACTAAACTTCGATGCACAGCCATAGCAACGACTGTCCATGTCGCCACGGGTAGAGTCATGAGACAAGAACTTACAACTACCGCAGCCTATAAATATGATCTGAAACTGACTGGACGGACAGTTAGTTTGAGGCTAGCTACCCATTTCCAGGTTGTCAACGTTGCCAAATTCAAAACAGGAACTAAGCCGGAAAATGAAGAATGACGTGGAAGGAGTGCTTCCTGTTTGCGGCTCCTCCAATCAGCTTTCTCCAAATTGTCTCGCGGGCCCTGTTCAAAATACAGAGCCGTTCCAATTCAACGTTGGCAGAGAAAAAATCCCAGAAAGAAAAGAAGAGGGCTTGTAAGTACTGTGGGTAACCTGTAGTTTGTGAATGACATATTTTAACCAATGAATAAAATTATTCAAACAACCACAAAATAGTTAAGCTAAAACCGTTATGAGATAGTCACTGCTCAAGGTCCCCACGTTTTCTCTTCCTAACGTCAGAAGGCTAACTAGCTAGCACCGTGACGAATTCCGCAGTCTTTTCTTTAGCTGTTAAGTTCAGAGCATTTATAAACAATAACTGTCCCTCCGATGTATACATAACTACTAGCCAGTTAAATAAAATATCTGTTCTAAATGAAAACGTAAAACGTTTAACCGTGATTTGGCACAATTTGACGCTTCATGGTTTTGAGTTCGTGTTTTTTCGTGCTTCTTCGTGGCACTCCGAGTTTCCAAGCTGAAACCTGCTAAATGAAAAGTTTATACAGTAAAACAAATGTATATATGCATTTTACATATCTATACCCTCTATGTTATATATTTTTTTACCTGGATGTATTTTGGCCTGTCCAACTCAGGAGTCATGACATCGAAATAACCAGATAGATAATTAGGTTGAAAGTAAAACGTAGATGGATGTGAAGTGAACCAGAAAAAAGGTTAATTTACTACCAGGATTTGTTAGATGAGAGGCATTGTGAAAAGAAAGTGGCATTAAAACAGCTTCTGTTTTGATTGCTTAAAAAAAACACACAGTAAGTATTTATGTCTGCTTCTAGGAGTCTAAATTGTCACTCTGCAATGGCAGAAGGAGGTGATGTAGAATGGGAGCTTTGCAAAGAAAACATTCAGCCACTGAGACGGGGCAGGGCCATTTCAGCCTTACATCAGGCACTCAACCAGCAACAGGATGGACCCATCTCAGCAACCAGTCAACAGAGACAGTACGGATAACGTCTTAAACTTTTAATTTAATCTAAAAGAAATCGGGAGAACCCTTTAATGGCGTGCACTTTTCATATTGTGAAACTAGTTTTTATTACTTAAATTTTTCAGGGCCTTTGAGTCTGAACTGCGCATGTATGATGGAGATGATCCACTTGATGTTTGGGATCGGTGAGTGAAGGTTTTGTCTTCCAATTTGTTGGTTTTGAGATATGCTTATCTGAACCATACCGGGTTTTGAAAATTAGATTATTAATTCTCATAGTTTATTGCTTATTTTGTGTAATGTGTTAAGTGTTGTTCATTTGAGGTTATATTTATCTAATTATTAGATTATGTAGGGACCAGAGGCTTCTTTACTGTTTGTACTTTCTTTTTCACACAGCTTTATGTATAAGATGTTCTTTGGAAGAAAAGACAAACGGCACCTAATTTTCTTTTTTATTTATTCCTGACACACTTCTGATTTTACAGGTATATTAAGTGGACAGAGCAAACGTTTCCTCAAGGAGGAAAAGAAAGCAACCTCGCCACACTGTTGGAGCGGGTGGTGACCAGATTCACTGAGGAACAAAAGTACCACAATGACCCGCGCTATGTTGACCTCTGGATCAAATTTGTATGAGCACTACTTTAACTTTTGAATGTTACTGAATTCTAACAGATGCAACTCCGGTAACTATTTTCACTTGTTTGTGTTCATGACTTTAGACAAAAAACTGCCACGATCCGTTGGAGGTTTACAGTTATATGCAAACACACAAAATTGGAGTGACGCAGGCATCCCTCTACATCGCCTGGTCTGAGGAGTATGAGAACCAGGGCAACTATCGCCAGGCGGATCTGGTTTTTCAAGAGGGATTCAAGAAGTGTGCTGAGCCACATGATAAGCTCCTCCAGTTTCACAAGTACGGGTCCATTTAATGAATTCTGCATTGGACGCAGCTCAATGGACAAACAGTTTCTTCCCTACTAACTGCTGAGTCATGACGACATTTTGTAATGATATTCGCAGGGCTCTGCAGGCGCGGGTGTCCCGGCAGGTGATGATGAATGAGGCGGACGACAGCAGTGACGATGAGCCCAAACAGCCAGAGAGAATGTCTCTAGCTGATCTCAAACACAGAGGCAAGAAAAAAGCAATCGCTCCCGTCAACAGAACCGGAGGGGCCATCAGAAGTAAGGACAGAGATCTGCTGCGCTGATACCACCAGAGCACCGCCTCCTTTAAACGCTAAGCGCTGGGGTTTTTGTGGACAGGTGTCACCGGGGGCCTGCAGTCCCACGGCACCTCGGTTCTGGGCAGCGTTTCGAACAGCCGCCTGCTGATCTTTGACGAGAACAGAGCCCCAAGCGCCAGTCTGCCCGAGCCCAGGCCGGAACCGTGGCTGGCTCCGCCCACATCTAAAGCAAAAGAGAATGAGCAGAGGCCAGAAAAATGGTGTGACGTCAAGGTATTCAAGAGCGTAGACTCTGTTTATTGCTTGGAATGTGCATATTGTATTCTATGGAGATTTTTTTTTATTCTTTATGTTCTTTGTTTACCACAGGTACCCCAGAAAACAAAATTTGGACATACCGCAATGGCTCCACCGCCTCCCAAACCCACCTTCCAGCCATTTGTTGAGGAATCAGACCAACTACCAGCAATGTGAGTAATTTGTTGTTTTTTCTATGTAGAATTTTGTGAGAGAACACAGTGTAAAAAAAATAAAACCCCAGTCAGGTGAAACGCTGCTCATCCCTGGGGCTTTAGTGTATCCCTGTAAGCTGAATGCGAGCGCGTTCTCCCTCCCTCAGGACACCGTGTAAGATCAACCCCGCCGTGAACACAGTTCTGTCGGCGCGCAAGCCGAGCCGGGAGGAAACCCCCCTGAAACGGCTGCAGCAGAAGGAGGCCGAGGCGGGGAAGCCGCAGGAGCAGAGCATGTACTGTAAAGAGCTGCTGCTCAGCGGCGCCACCGAGTTCTGCTTTGAGGAACTGCGTGCCGAACGCTACTTCAAAAAGAAGGCACAGGAGTCGCAGGCTGGCAAAGAGGAGAAGGACCGAAGGACAGACTGCTAACGCCTTTTAGCCAACGTTTTGACTGACCTCATCTGCCTGTATCATGTCGTCACCGTTGATGTCTAACTGTAAATGTTGTTTTTGTAGAGTTGCTGTCGAGTTTTCATAGAAAAATCCCACTCTTTGAACATAGCCTTTACCTTTTTTATGTTTTTAATGTGACAGACTGCCAAATCAAGCGTGGTGTGAACTAACAAACACTACTTCACACACATTTATTGGACTGAACTCTCTGGTTTCCCGCTGTGCTTTTAATTAATTCCTTATTTCACTTGCTCATTTATCTGTTCTTTGGGGATTTATTTTTCTGATTTGGCATTGTTCTTTAGAACCTTGCCTTCTTTGTCTCTTGCCTTTTCAAACTTTTTCTCTAAGTATTTCCAAGACAGTCCACATTGGGTTCCAGTGAAGTGATTTATCTTGGCTTAAGTCTCAGTAAACGCCCGTTCACTGAGGTCTAATAAACATGTTAAAACCTCTGACTGGTTTATGAGGCTCGTGGTGTCTCAGATAATTATGAGGATGCTGAGAGGAAGTGTAGTAATGTGAGGAAGGAGACATGCAAAGGACAGAATATACCAATATTCATGTGGGTGGGCATGAATATTACCTACAGGGACCTTTGCACTGCACAATAAGTGGAGATCTTCCATTCAGCTGGACAATTTTCAACTTTGTCTTGGAGAGGTGACTCTGTAGCTCCCTCAGTATGGTGGGGGTGTACCTAATCTAGTGTAATGATGGGATCCACTTCACACACGGAAGGCTCGCCAGGCAGACTTTGATGAATGACTAAAAGAAAGACGGTTGGCTCATTAGCAAGTGAAATCCTTTGCAGTCGTGAGCAGTGCAGGTCTTGGTTTCCCCCGAGAGACCGCCACTCTGACGCAGCGTGGCACAGGATGGTGCTGTTTCCACGTGCACACGGATCACCAGAGGAACAGACTTCACATCCACCCTGGAAATCTGACACCGCTCATCAAGGCCCTCCAGAGAGGTGAGTCCTCATACTGTCTTCTTAAAGATTTGGTCTAGAGCTCCAAGGAGTCGAAAGTCAGCAATTAATGATAAACTAGAGGACACATCACCCGGGCATTAGTGCGCCCTAATGCATCCCTGTTGCTCCCAATTTGTCAAAAGTCCTCGAAGGCTCATCGTAAGGAGGCAGACATCAAATCCGTGTCTCCCTTTGGTTGTTATCTTTCAGACGGCGCCACGGAGAAGAGTTTCAGCTCGACGCCACGGTGAAAGGCGAGAACACTCAGCCGCCGCATGGGTCGTGTTTACCGTCAACATTCTCAGCCTGTTTGCACGGTTTGTGATTACACGCACCAGTTCACAAAAAGTTAGCCGTTCCAGCCTCAGCTTCAATTACAGGCCACAAGTTTAAGCTTTTTTCCAAACTAAGGTGAACCTTCCTCAGCCAGCCAGAAATTCTGTTGTCTGTTTAATAACAGTATAAAAGACAAGTGGCTTAATAATAGTCTTATTTAGTTGTTTATGGAAGAACAAAAATGGCAAATTCATTATTTAAGGAGCTTAACTTCAGACATGTTACCGAGAGAGAATTGCTGCATCCTGTGCTCGTCATTAAAATTTGTTTCAATGTATCTATTGACCTGTTGTAATTTTTTAAAACCTTTTAATATTTAGAATCTATGCTTTTAGTTGCAAACTGTATCAGATAAGAGATGTCGGCCTTTTGTCAGCCAGTCGAAATGCAGTCATATTATCAGTATGTCAATAAAGCTGCTACTTGGCTTCTGTCAATCTCTGAACTTACACCATATCCAATCTTTTGTTCTTTTTTGGGGGTTTTATTAGTTTGTTTGGGTTTTTTTAGGGCAGAAGTGGGTACAAGAATCTGGTCCACCAAAACTTTCTGTGTGGGAGACTAAACGTGATTGGATGTTTCTCTCACCTGAGTGAAGGCACACCTCCAGAATAATTTTGTTCATGAGTCAAAATGATTGAACAGTCGTGCTTCAACCTGCAATGGCACAAATTCAATGCGAATGTCTACTTGTCTCAGCCTGGCAGAATTAAAAAAGGGTTTATAGCTCATCCGGTAGCTCCGCCTTAAAATTTCAGAGGATTGTGACAAGAAATTAAATTTGCTGGAGCTTTAGGTTGAGCCCTGATAACCCATAGGCCAGTTTAATCTTTGCATATCCATTCTAAACAATAGAATGAATTGAAATGCAAACAATTAAGGCGGAATCACTTATGCAGCTTTTAGGGTTTTCATTTCAATGAGACTGCGGTTTAAGACTTGTATTGTCATTCTAAAACATGTTTTACATTACAAGCCTTCTTCTTAGAGTGAATGTTTCCAGGAAATTCCTGATTGAAGCTGGCAAATGAATGAACCCCAGTGACTTGGGCTACTTTTAGTAGTAATGTTTCTCTAACATAAAAAATGCTGACAAATAAATAAATAAATGACACATTTAACGTGTCCAGCATCCCAAAAAACAAAGAAAGATGTTCACTAAAATGTTTACTAAAATAAAAAAAGAGTTTTTTCATCCACTAGTAGAAGAGGTTTCCTGTTCTTTTAGAAAAAAAAGTGTGATTATACATATTTTTCCTGGTAATTTCTATAATGAAAGTATACAAATGTAGGTTTTATTTACTGACGTTTTAACCTATTCAGGTCTCTTTGCTCAGTATGCGTCAGATCCCTGTGCAGGCCTACATAAACCTTGCAGCTCCATTAGCTTAGGCAGTTAAAACCTCATAGATACGCCTGTTATGGGACGGATCTATTTCTGTTCACACATCAAAAACCAAAAATGTAAGAACAAATCCTTTACATGTGCAGCACAAAGTGGTAAAATATAGCCACACTGATAACTATCTGTGACAATACTGCTGACACACAGTGTGAAGGAGGAGCCATGTCTGGCACAGCACCAACAGACAAATCTGACATTCTCGTGCAGCCTGGTTCTCTCAAGCTTTTTTTCTTATTTGACTTAGTTGTATTTGAAATGACCAACATCATTATTCCGGTCCATTCTCGCTCTTTTGCGAGCTCCTTTCGCATCGAAATGCCATGTACTACATACAGTATATGCCCCAAATCTGACTCACTCTTGCAGGCAGTTTCTGCCTGACTTGACCTTAATACATTTTCCTGCTTTGAGTCTTGTTCTGGCGGCTGTATAAATTATTCAGGAAAATGATTGTGGGGGGAAGAGAAGGGACTGTTTTACTTGAGTAACGATGCCGGATCCTGTGTAGGACCCAGAAAGTGCTGTAAGTTGTGTTTCTTATGCCTTGATCTGCAAAACATTTTGGGTCACAGTGGACTCTGAGGAAAATTGTGAGGACGTGATAAGGACTGCGACCATGTAAACAGAACTGGGCCCAACACCCCTTTTTAAAGGCATCCAGATAGAGCACCCCCCCCCCCCCATGCCATCTGCCAGCCCTGACCCAGTCAGCCCACAGATAATGCATCTGACCAAACAGCAGCACCCCTGTATTCTCATGTCACCCACGTGACGTGTTAAGGTGACAGAGGGAGAGAGATGGAGGAGGGGTGGGGGGGTGAAAGGTATCCCAGGTGGTGAGGTGTAAAAGGAGCTCTCCTTACGGTCATTGGAAACCGGCTTAAACACACGTACGCGCACGCACACGCGCACATTCAGGCAAACACACGCATCTATCGGTTCTTTTGCAGTCCAATGAGGGAGAGGGAGGAGGCAGAGAGGGGAGGGGGGGGGGGGGG